GAAACGACATGAAAAGCTCAAAAGTGAAGTCCCCCACTGTAGGACACAGTAATTCAGAAAGTTATGGAGATGACTTCTATTGAGTACACTCCTTTGAAGAATGTTGGGAAGATTATTACGCTGCTTTAATTAGTATGCAAATGTATGTCTTTATGATCACTTTCCCTCTTTCTTCATTATATTTCATCTTTCTATTTATCCTTCAAGAGTGAGAAAGATTCAATTCACTTGGTCTTGTGTTAGGCCGCAAATTTATTGCTCTGTAATTAATTTCAAATGCATTACCCATTAATCAGACACATCTGCACAATTATGTGCACAGAATTTCTTATCCAGTGGCTGAATCTACCTGTCCATCCTGCAGTTTCACCCATTTACCATCAAAGGCATTTAATTTGATGAATTAGGTCAGACAAGTATTTAAAGTGATATTTTACTTGGCTAAAGCACTTGCACTTTTTAAATGCACATACAGTACTTCTCAAAGTTCTTGTAATCAGTTACTTGGTTGTCTTCTGAAATGTTCATATTATAAAAACAGACAGTTGATTGAAGAGCCCCGTCAGAGCTCACACCATCATTTACCTCCTTGAATCACATGGCTGATGAAATGTGTCAAAATATTTACAGTGTAGTACTTTACAGACATGGTGTAGTATCATGTTTGAGTACTGCGATAAGTACTTCCCTCTTGTGAAATGTACAGTATCTTTATCAGTGCACAGTACAGTTGGTGCCAAAACTGTGATAACAGCACAAAAACCTCTCCGTACTCTAGACTCAGTGTCCTGTTTGGAGTCCTGCATTATGTGTTTGTGTTGATCTAGAGTCGCACTTTGACAGAATAATCTTATTAACTCCGGGAGAGAGATGGTTGAGGGCTTTGGACAAATCTAATAAGTGAATCCTGAGTTCAGATTGTTTTGTTTATGCTACGTTGTTGTTATAAGTTTGTTACTGAGAGAGACTGCTGCCATTTTGCATCATTTTATTTGTATTATAAACCTTCACTCACTAAATTAGCATATTGAGCTACAGCATATTTAGAAGCTGTTTTATCTTACTGTTGATTTAACCTTTACTTTAAAACCTGGATATTGTCAGTTTTTTGATTCACTGTGGCAAGTGTCGGGTCCTAACATGCCCTTTTGTTGAAATAAGTGTTTGGTGTCCCAAAACGCAGAGGAAACTGACATAATTCAATGCCAAAATAAACATTTACATCTGCAAGGGAACCATGACCAGGTGTCTTTAAGTATTTTTGAGGTTTTCCTGTTACCTGCTGAGTGTGACACCTGCACAGGCCAACACAGAAAGCTGTTCACCAGAGGGCCTCATCACAGGTCAGCTGTAAGACGCAGCCGAAGATGAGTCACACCGTAGTCGCTCTGTAGCTCTGCCTTACTTCCTCTCCACCTCTGTTTTTATTCAGATGTTTAATTCCAATAATCCACAGCCCTGGCTATGGTCTGAGTTAATGTAAACCCATAGACTTCACAGGTAAATGAAACGGGACCCTGTGTTGTCACAACAACCTATATGTATTACAGCAAGCAGGAGGGGAGTTGATTAAATTGCCCCTTCCTGTGCACTGCTCTCAAAGCTTTGTTTTTTTAATCACTGCTGACTAATAAGACCCGGTAAAGCACCCAGGCCTGCAATGAACAAGCTCACATTGTGGCAGATCACCTGCGCTAACCTTCTGTCAAGTTACACGGCCTGTGATGTACTGTGACTGCTTCAATCAAAGCAGCAGATTTAAATATCCACAAGACTTTCCAGTAACAGCCTCCATGTGAGATTTATACCCCCATTGAGAAAATTACATTCACTCCCTGTCCTCACTGTTTGGCATCCTTTACTGTTCATTATTATCTTCTGAAGCTGTACAGCTCTGTAATAAAAAGCGGAAAAAAAGGAAAGCGGAAGTTTGTGCCTAGATTGAGGCATAAATTGTCCCATCCGTGCTGTTGCAAAACACTCGGCCGTATCTAATTATTTTCTTTCTCCTCCTTGGTCTCTAAGCCCAGGCATGCTTTGTGACCAAAGCTGTGCACCTGCACTTTATAGTGGACTTATTTTTAGCAACACCAGCTGCATGACTGTAGAAGTTCCAGCTTTGGCTGGTCCATCAGTGTGTTGGTCCACCACTGGTCCGGAGTCAAACATCTTGACAACTACCAGGTTGACTGCAATGAAATGTATGGTCTGAGTTAATGTAAACCCATAGCAGTCGTGGTCTCTGCTTTTTGATTTTCACTTTTATTCACTTGTGCTGCAAACCTTGCAATAACCTCTTTTACATACTAAAGTAATAAGTGTTAACATATTTATTTGTTAACTGACATGCTACTTACTAAACATTGCTGCCTCATGCATTTTATAGGCATGTAGCACAATATCCAAAACTCACAGTACGATATTGCCGCAATAAAAAGTCCACAATACAGTGTTTGTCACAACATCAAAAAATGAAAAAAGATGTTTTAAAAAAGCCAAATACTAAAAAATGTATCGGTATTTTTGTATGATTTTCCTTTTAACTTAGTGCTCCTGCTTTCCTTCTTTATTAAAACATATTAAATAAACGTAGCCAGCTGTGACCGAAGCATGTGCAAAATATTTACATGAATTGTCACTGGCATTGAATGATTGAACTGTTTGTTGTTCTTGTTCTCCTCATTCTGCAATTTGCTAAATAGATCTGACCTTAATGTCCATCCATGTATTGGACAGTGTCACCGTTGAAGTGGGTATTTCCCCCGACCACAGGGGGCAGTATTGAGCAGATTGCTGCTTGGCACAGCAAAATCAGGAGAAGAAGATGACAAGCTACTGGCTGGAGCTGCCTTCTACTGTAATGCACACTGGCTGACAAAAAATAAAATAAAATAAAAACAAAGGCTCCGTCGACTGACATTTCTCCTGACTAACGACTTGGCTGTTGGACAGTTAGGAAGCAGCCCTAGATCACAGGTCCACATTACTTTATATAACTGTAGCCACAGTTTGAGGATGACTGCCAAACCAATAGGTTTCCTTTGTGCCTTGGAGGCTTTGGTTTACTACCTTGACATGTTCGTAAGTTCACGATGAACTGGAATAATCAGAAACAAGAATGCATCATGGTTGGGCTTGTGCTATATTTCAGAGTAAAGGAGACAAACTCAGCGTGTTGTCACACCCTCAAGCAAAAGCCACAGTGGATCACACATGTACCTGTGCACTATTCTCAGGCCAAACTTTCACCTGCCTGTGTGTGAGGTAGATGTCATCATCTGAGGTAAATTCTGATCTCACTGTTGCAGGTAAGAGCAGATGTTCTGGTTTGCCCTGTGGAACAATCAGAACAGTTTTACATTTGTTGTTGTTTGTTTTTGTTTTGTTTTTTACCTCCCAGAATTTAATCCTCAAGCTCTTGTGTGTTTTTTCTCCACGTATGCTAAGTTGTTGTCTTGGGAGTAGAAGGACATAAAAACAAATGTTTGGAAATGACTGCGATAGCAACTAGGCTAACAGCTGGGGCAGCCAAGGGAGCAGGTGATGTTGGGGCACGAGCAAGGCCTGGTTCCCCCCGTTACACGCACACGCACACACACACAGCCACCCACCCCCCACCTCCAACATGCTCTGTGAGGAGTCTTCATAAATAATCTTCCAGCAATCTGCCTCTCCCTCCACTCTCTTATTAATTACTTTTACAGCCAAAATCAAACATCTGTCATACTAGAATACAAATTAATTATGCAGCTTCTCCCCATCAAGATCCATATAACATTGTTCCTCAGAGCGTCACTCACTTCAGAGGCAGAGGTAGCAGAGAAGGCATAAGACTGTTTGTCTTTTGTGTTGCATCTTAAATTTTAGAAAAGATTTCCCTCAAGACAGTTAAAGGAGAATTTATTATCATTTCACTGAGGCTTTTCAGAGTCACTGTACAGACAGATGTAAAGAGATTACCTGGACTCTGAGAGCTCAGTGTGATTATTACATTTTTAACCTTTATTTATCCAGGGAAAGTCAGCTGAGCATACTTGCTCTTTATCTTTTACCCTGTTTGACATCTCCCCACCCTTTTCATACAGTTTAATTCCTGGCTTCTTTTTCATATTGTATTCTGAGACCAGAAGAAAAAATTCTTTACATATAGGACATGTATATAAGACTAAAATGCAAGATCATGCATAGACATAATTAATCAGAGTCTTAATTATATTATTCTTCTGTGTGTAGTTCTGTTTTAGAAGTGCCATCCTGAATTCCTCTTCCACAGCCAGAGTTGCGTGAGGTGTACATATTCCTAACACTCATTTTTTGAAGAATACATAAAGTTTATGCTCTGAGAAAAAGTTTATTCTTTGGCACTTGTGCGGAATGTTTGCTTTGTTCAGAGTGTAGTGCTGGTGTTGGACATTTTCAACCTTATTCTGGACCCATGTTTTAAACAATTTGACCAGTGGTTTTCATCAGAAAAAGATGTTACAGGTGAACACCCCTGACTTGTATCTTTAGGAAACAAATTAACTTGCTTCCCTGGCTAATGTATCCTAATTCAGTAGCTAGTACACTAGCTACGTTAGCAACTTCTTTAGTTGTAAAATAGACCACATTCTGCTATTTTTGTTGTTAAAATTCACATGAATAGTTCCCCAACACAAAAGTTGTACTTCATGTATTCTTTGTGCAGGCCACCCTTATTGATGGTTGTAACTACCACCCGTGGCTGACGGTACAGTAAAATATTTTATCAGCTTGATTTGATCAGTTTGATTGATGCTATCACACAAATGTTGGTCCAGACACTGATTGTTGAATGACGGATCATTCCTGACGCCAGCTTATATTTCAGTTGGAGGTCAAGTCACCTCACCAGTCACTCTGATAAAATCAGATCTGCAGCAAATATGGGAGGAAACATCACGGCTGTACCATTTTTAGTTAGTGTGTATGTAAACCGAGATACTACGGCTAAGATGTTTGTTTGTTTTTTTTTTTTACAGCCCTGTGTATTCCTGGCTTTAAACCAGGTTTTCTTCTGCTAAATGACTGTGTGTGCGGAGAAAGATGATCTTTGAGGTTTATGGGCCCACTGACAGAAGACAGCTGTCTGCCCGTCCTCCAGCTCAGCTCTGAGGTGTCCTGGGACTCTGCCTGCTTGCGGGTCAGGACCCCAGAGGGGAGGCACCATTTGGTACCAGTTACCGAGGAGCAGGGGCCACTGGTGCCTTCCTCCTTCCTTTCAGTCAAGGTAATGCTGGCCAGGCGAGCAGCCCCTGGCTGACCGGCAGGCACGGGCAGCACTACCCATCATGCCACAGTGGTGAAGGGCCCGGTGACCTTGACACAGGCCAGGCTCATCCCCCTCGCTGTGCTGCAGACTGCTTGGGAGAAGATGGATGGAGGCACATTTTGTATGGCCGCTGACTGAATGCAGCGTGTGCTAGGTGAATGGAACTCACTGTGATTATAACCTTCACTTATTGTGGAAACGTTGACTGAGCACACTGTGAAATTATTACTGTGCAGGCAGCACCGTTTTCTCAGCAACAGTTCCCACAGTTGGGTTGCATTTACACCAGGCGTGTTTAAAGAGAACTGTTGGAGCATTTCCTCTTTATGTTCGAGCTTCTAAACACAGGTGACTGGAGCAGTGACTGTTGGGGTTAAGTAGTCCATGGTAGGCATGAGAATAATATACAGTGGGTTCAAAAGGTTCTGGATAAATGGAGATGCATGTCGACTATTTATTAGTCGTGGTTACTAAACGCCATCCCTGGTAGGCCTTTCTTTCTTTCTTTCTTAGTTGTGGTTACTCAGTAGTTTTCCCATGTACTACTAGAGAACTTCATATCATGAAGTTTGGTGTGTTCAGGCTTAATTGTCAAATTGTTTCAAGATTTATTTGAATTAGGAGTAGTTTATTGTAGGCTTAAGCTTAATTTTGACTTGTCAACATGTAGCTATGTAGCCAAATGACATTACTTGGCTAGACTGCCCGCCTGTTCTCAAGCTAAATGGCTACTTTCTCACCTGGAAAAATATGAACACTTAAAAACATGGCATAATACCAGTCCAAGGATCCAAGGATGACAATTATAACAGCTTTGAGCCTGGATCAAAATTTCTACCATTTCTGTTTCCCAACTTCTTCTTTTCTGCTACTTTGCTTTTTGACTGGCCCCTAGTTAGAACGCTAATGTTTGCAAAAGCATAACTGCAACAGCTATGCAACTGTCTCCAAATAACAGAAGCATGTTCCCATACGGTTCCGAATCTGTAAAAGTCATCCTGATGAGTCAGCTTCAAAGTCACCTCTACTGTATATGCACGTGCATTGTCTGTATGTATTGTACCTGCTGTTTCTGTGCTAATCTTTGTCATAGTCATTGTCATCAAACAACAAACAAAACTTACCAATCCAAACAATTTATGACTGTTAAGCATGACAGCATATATTATGACAAACAACACATGCTCCATTATGCCAGCTGGTGTAATGATGTGGTAATGCTGGACTCATTAACTTCTGCACACAGTTTATAGTGGCCTTTCATGACAGAATTAATTGATTCACACATGCATTAAAACAAAAATAACTGGAATGAAAATGCAGTTGGATGCCGGCCTCCAATCAGTCACGAGCACTTCTGGTGGTAAAGCGGGCTGAAATCATTCATGTAAATGACTGGTCATATATGCAGTAAACAACCCCAAATAAGTCATTTTTTTCACAGCTATCTTTGCATTTCTCACCCAGCACATATCACAGTGAAAAATATTTTTTAACAGCTATTAATTACTGTACACATGTTTTAAAAAACATTTTTCTCAAGTTGATTGAATCCTGTAAATGTATTTGTCTTCTCAATGAATATTATTCAGCGGTGACATCTTCTCCTGCAGTTGAGCTCTCTGTTTGTTGTTTAACCCTGAATACTGATTAAATCTTTATTCATTATTTGTTCAAACGAGCCGTTAAATGGGGAGATTAATTTGTAAATTGTAATCACACACCTTCTAGACAGTTGGATTAAACTGCACAGATTGTGTTCAGTGCTGCAGAACTTACAGTCTGAGTAACTTCCCAACAGTTTTACACAAATGCTGCTTTACTTTTACACTTTGTTTGTTCACTAACTGGCCATAAGGCTATTAACAGATATCTGAAAGCCACATTTGTAGATTGATAGGACAAATTTATTATAATTCTGTATCTTTAGGCATTTTCTTCTACGGATTTTCCATTCAACATTTCTTCAGAGGTCATTGGGTTGTCAGTTCATCCAACCGTCTCACGAATGCGATATCTCAGGAACCCCATGAGAGAAGTTCTTAAAATTTGGCACAAATGTTCATTTGAATTCAAGGACAAATTGATTTGATTTTGGTGGTTAAAGGTCATTGCAACCTTACGTCTGTTACATTCTTGTGTACGCCATATCTCAACAACGCCTTGAGGGAATTTCTTCACATATGTTATGAACGTCCACTTGGACTCAAGGATGAACTGATTAGATTTTGGAGGTCAAATGTCAAGGTCACTGTGTCCTAACGTACGTCCCATTCCTGTGAACCTGACTGGTCAGCGGAGGCTTACTACCACGAGGTTATTCTTGTCAGGATGGAAAACCATTTGAAACAGAACTAAGACAATCATGGGACATTATAAGTCAAAAACCTCTATGTATACACACTGATGTTTGAATTACCAGCAAAAAGACAGGTAGTATTTGAGCTATTTTTCTGTGTACTGTGGCATATTTTAAGACAAATATCAACTGTCGAACACAGCCTGAAGATGATTCATTGCAAGAATGGCAGCATTACTTTATGTCTGATGCCTTCATCATGGTCAGGGCACTGTTTAGATCCCTCTTTCTTGGAACAGTCCAATAAGGAAACGGGATTTTCTTCCAACATACTGTATGTGACAGTGAAAGCCTGACATTTAATCAAAGATGGAGCTTGCATCAAAAATGAGAAAGAGGTCAGGCTACTGCCCCAGATGACTCACTACCCTGCCATTACTAACACTTTAAGCAATATGTTTAAGAATTTCCCTTGAATCTCTGAGATGAAATGAAGAAAGGATTTAACTGGGAGAGCTTCTCAGTGCTTCTGCTGTGATGAGGGTCACAGTAAAGCAGTCTCAGTTCTCCATATTGAGGAAATGGTTTTTATCTCCTGGGCTGGACATAAAGGTAATTGTATACAAGCTGTGCTCTGCTTCAAACCTGTAATGAATTCTTTAATCTGAATCTCATTGTTATGAACCATGCAATTACTTACCCCGGGATAAATAATCCAACTTTTTTAAGATGGAGAGATATTGTTTTTTTTTTCGCTGTTATTTTTCACTGTCACTGGTTGACTCTGTATTTTAACGTGGGTCCACGTGTTCTGTTCAGAGACCCCTTTGTGCTTTGTCTAATACATGACAATGAACCGTGAAAATCACTGCTCTCTAACTGTACCATCACAAATTTTACTGGGAACAAGTGTTATATGGAAAAATATCAAGTCAAGATGCAGCTGTTTTACAGCAGGTGTGAAAAGTTGTTATTGGAGATGTCTTATTGTCACCTATATGGGTAGTATAGAGTACACAATACACTGTCCAACTGGGTCATCTCCATCTGCTGATGAAGACTATGTGATATGGTTGAAAGCCCCAGAAAAGAGCTCCAGAAGCCACAAAGTAAAACTTGATTTGAGTTTTTTCCCCAAAATCGAGAACAGATTTTCACTCTAAACTATTTTTTAGTCATTTTTAGGATTTTTTTTATTTATTTAATGCCTTGCAGCTCTCACTTAAATTTATAATGAATTTTTTAATAAAAGCAGAGATCCGATTTCAGTTTCTATGTGAAATATTTCAAGTTATTCCATCTTTAATTAATGATTTGCACGAGGTCTGCCCTGTGCCTTGTTCTTGATGTGTACTACAGTGCATTTGAATAGTGTTGGACCTCTATGAACAGATGGAGAGTTTCTTTCTCATTTTTTTTCTAGAGGTTAAACGGCACAAGAAGATGCTTTGTTGTTCAGAGTACAAGGAGCCTCGGCCATCGTGCCTCAAAAGCCGCTCAAGATTTCATGTCTGAGGCAATCCTCATCACAGCTTGTATCACCTCACCAACAGATGTCAGTGAAGTCAGCGACAGCCGATCATGCTGATCCCCCCTGTAATCACGTGCGATGATCCCGCCAAGACACAGAACTGTGGGAAATATGTCCGTCAATACCATCACCGCAGGCAGATGCACCAGCATACCGCTGCCCACTCCTACCACCTGCCCGCCCTGTTCTTCCTTCCTTTGGCCTCCTCCCTCCCCATTGCTCCTTCTCCCTCCACGAGCTGCTGCCTTTTCTCTTGAGCTCTCCATTAAGCCTCTTCCCTCCTGGCAACTGTATGTTTCACAGCTTATGTATTTCTGTTTGACCTTTTTGACCAACATGTTTCTCCTGCAGTGTCACTTTCAGTGAACAACTGAATGACAGAAAGGCTGTGTGATGCAGATCTGTAATGCACATATGCTGCGTTTTCACTATCTGAACCCTGACGAGCGTTACTCGGCGCGGCACATTTTGGTAGGTTCCTATCATGTAAAAACTCAGTCACATGAGGTAAACTCAGTGAGGAGGGCAGTATTATTGGTATGTTTCTGATTACCTTGTGTTTTCGTCCAGGTCATGCATGTCATGATGTTCACAGAGGGCTGTGCAGCTGCCGTCCCTGACCAGCCCTTCCTCCCCATGGCCAGAGTTGCAGGTCAGTGAAAAGGCCGCTTCCTTGAAACAGAATGTGCCATATGCTCAACTAAGGAAGCGGCATCAAACATTCTTGCAAAGCTCAGCTCTATGTAGACTCTCTCAATGAAAGCCCTGCAAGGCACAAGGCTTCCAAACAATTTCACGTTTTCATGTTGAAACCCTGCAAAAACTGGGGAGCTTTGCATATTCACACATGCCACAGGCAAGCACAGTTGCTGCTAGCCTCTGTGTTGCCAGCAAAACCTTGACAAAGGTCATAAACAATTTGCCAGACTCTGTTATTAAGAGCGCTTAAATAAAAAGAGAAAATGCCACTGATGATCAGTTTGCCCAGCAGCTAGCTTCATCGTCTGTAGCCATTCCAACATATGCTTGTAAGATAAAAAATGTGGTATGAAACATGGGGAAAGATTGAATTTTGTTCCAGGCTACATACACCAAGTCAATCCTTCCCTCTGGAATCCTATTTAGTACACGATAGTAATGTCACCAGTGATGAGGATGTTTCTTGGATAATATAATTTATAGTAGAAAGAGGTCCATAAATGGGAGGCAGTGTAAAATATTTCCATTATGTGGGGATGTCAGTGGGTAATAAACGCTTTATTCTACTTTTTATGGCTCTCAATCTGTTGTTGTTCCCAGCAGTTTTTAAATCTGTTAAAATTCAGTGAATATCTTAATGTGCAATTTTTAAAGCAGGGAAGATCAGTGAGTCTTTTACAAAGTGACTCTTGGGGCACAACTTTTTGACTGGACATAAAATGACTGCATGTTCAGTAATGTGAAAGTCCATCAGCCAGTCTTTTTATTACCTCGGCCTCTTTCTTTTATACAGAGATTATACATCTTTCTTTACCAGCGTTGTAAAGGTTACGCAGTCATTTAAGCAGCAGTTGAGACAGATTGATGTTTATGTCATTACAGCAGCAAATGAAATGTGCCACTCTTCTCTCTTACTATTACATAAAGCAGAAATGAGCTTCATCCATTGATGACATTGAAGATACATTAGAGTCGAAGTTGGGGAGCGGAAGACGGTGGTAATTACCTGATAGTCTAGTGGGAATTACCTGCTTCTCTTGTAATATGATGAAGTCTGCACATGACTGCTTCCTGTAACTGGTGCTGTTGGGGCACGTGTCATTTTTTTGTCCCAGTAACAGAAGAACCTTTTCTGGTGTGTTATGGGGATATTGAGTGACCACTATCAGCATCTAGAACTGTTATGCCACCCCTGCTTCTGCTGTCCCCTTGTCTTCATTGTCTTATCGGCCAAAACACTGAAGTTTAAAACAGACTAGTTATTTACTGGAGTTAGTTAAATCACCCAACGAGCACATCTTTCCTCAAAGACGCCACAGTCCTATAAACTTGGCATTTTAATAATCAAAACTTACAGACAAAAAAAATCATTCCAAAACATATTAATACAAACAAAAAAAAATCTGCTGTTACACATGTTGGTAAAAAAAAAAATCCCCCTTCCATGTGTCCGGATTTTCTTTATCCTTGCAAGTGCAGTAGATCCTGAAAACATGGAGGTGAAATCTGCTGTTAAATTGTTTTCTGACAGTAATCCATCCAGATGCCTAAGGCTTTTTTAAACAACCCTCTTTGCTGTGAGAGTGATGATGTTGCAGGAAAATTCTTCATAATATGCGAAGGGAGAAGGACTTCAGAGTAAAACCTTACCGTGCACGAAGTTGAGCCTGGAGTTATGCTTAGTGTAAGATTTGCATAATACTGTATATAATATTACAGGTATAATGTTTTTTTTAAGCATTTGTAGTAGACAGTAGTGAACAAGGTGTCAGGTAGAGACTCTTTGATACTGTTGAAAGGAAAACTAGCTGTCATGGCTTATAGGGTCACACAAGACCTTGTTGACAATGCTTATTAAGTCAGTTTATGAATTGTGGTCTTTTCCACCAGAAGTAACAAGTAGTGACACCATAATTGTTGTTTTAAGCAGTCAAATCAAACTCCACTAGAATCAGATGAGATGAACCTTTTCATTTAACCCCACTTTGAGAAGAATGATTCAAATACAGTAAGTGAGAGAGAGACACATTGTTCCACCACAAATCCAGAATAAAAATGTGTGGGAACTTACATAAAAAAACATAAAGGACTCTTCTGAGCTCAGTCCTACACTGACCCCAGGATGATTTTTCCAACATATGTTACAGTGTTCAGCTATAATATATCTGCAGCTTGTTATTTTTGATTATCTGACATGTGAAGGTACTAAATGTTTCAAAACAAAAGCTATAATATTAACATCACTTCATCAAACAACTGACCAAATGCATATGAATTGTGATTAATTGCTGGACTTATTTAGACAGCAATCTGCTAAAACCACTCATTTTCTTTTACTTTCATGGCACTACTATATATTGTAGGGACTAATTACTGGTGAAATGATACAGAAACGGCCACTATTTAAGTCTTTCTTCTGCATGATTTACGGCATTATTGCTACACTTCATCTCTATCCTCAAAAGAAATTACTTGCAGATTACAGCTCTCATTTCACTTATCACAGGGTACAAGAAAAGGTTTGATAGCATTTAGGCCTTCT